GGACCGCGTACCCGAAAAATTCCCGAACTCGGCAACTCGCACGAAGAGCAACAATGGATTACTGAACGCAGGAGAAGGCGGTTTCAATGATTGATCACTATCACCAGCAAATATGACCTGATTCATGATGAACTTCAAAATTTGCACAAAAGTTTACTAAATAGAAAGAAAGAAGCTGTCAGCCAAGATAAAGAGTAAATAATAGTTAACGTCCAATTGCTCACTTCCACTTGGAGATTGGATGTCCCATTAGTTCCATTCACACATGCTACCCAACGCACTCCTTCGACACCAGCAATAACACGATTGTCACGCTAAAGTGTGGTACTGACAGATGCTCCTTTCAAAGCAAAGCCGAGCTATTTCAACCTAAACTTACAAATTCTCCCTGAGAACTCTTGGAAAAATCCACCAATCCTGAGATCAGCGTAGACAATGATGAAAGATCTTTAGAAATTAAAGAGAGTTGACTGTAAGTAGACAGAGGAGGGGACGGAAAGGCGGCACATTTTCCTGCTGCAACATCAAATTTCTAAGAAAAACGACTTCATCTTCAAAATTATTAGTGAAGATTACTTACACGTTATATTGTGAAGGAACCTCTGATCGGGACTCATGAATATCCAGTGCAGTGTTGATTGACGATCCGAAATAACTGTCGCTATTCGATCGGTCTTTGTTAGTTCCGTTATTGATGCCACAGTTTTATTCGTCCAGTCTGTGATTTCGCCAGATATCTACAAAGATTAGCGTAAAACTAAGCTGCACCATCGAATTAAATTTATACTACACCCACAACACAAAACTTCATGAAAAGACACAAGTATCTTGATGCTATTCCATTCACGATACGCCAAAATCTTAAAATCGATTTCGCTGAAACTTCGCCCAGAGGGCTAATTTGGCATACCATGAGGATCATATTCACTGCGTACGCTAGGCCTTTTTGTAGGATTACGGTAGGTGTGCGGTAAGGGGACCAAATCACGGACTTGCCTTAAATTGTTCTATTGGGGCAATTTGACCAGCTGATCATGGATATGCTATTTCGCACGATAAGGTCTATGCAGGATGTATGTGGAGTAGTACCAATTTATTTGTGCCAAAGTCGAGATTCGCTAATATGCGCTAAGGCTACGTCCGATAGTTTAGGAAAAAACATGTACAAATACCGCAATTCCTACTCCCAAAAGAAATCAAGGGAAGAAAAAGGATCAATTGTTAGCAAACTCGAGACTTTCACAACTTAGGTTTCCAATGCTTTTTTCACCCACTTAATCATATATTATTTTATTAAAAAACAAAGGAAGTACCTTGTAAGACGGTAGGATCTTGAAAACAGGCAAACTCTCATTTTTCTGTGGCGTCGGGAGGCTGCATTCAGGTTGAAATGCAATCGAGTTGCCTCCTACCACAGCGCCAAGCACTATGGCCAACTGCAATAAGGTCATACCTGCAATGGTTACCATGATTTCGATGAGGAAAAAATAAAAAAGCCGCAGCGGAATTATCATGCAGAAAGAGAAAAAGGAGATATTTCTTAAAACTTTCTGAGCCAATTAGTGTAAAGCACTACAGTAGCAACAGAGAGAATAATAAGAAAAGTGTCAGAAAAATATGCCAAAAAGCAATTTTTATTGGCTGCTACAATAAATATTTCTACAAAACATGAGAAAGGGAGAGTACAAAGAAGATATCTGAAAATACAAGGAAAATTACACATTTAAATTTAAAAGTAAAACACACGTGATTAAACTAGTATGCACGCTTAGATGAACTTGGCATGACAGACAAAAACCAATTATCTTATCGCGTCCATTGTGTACTCGCACATCAAACAATATGTGATAAACATTGACGTGAATATTTATCGGTTTCGGTGTGTGATGTGCAACAACATACATGACAGAC